TAAATCTGAAAGTGAAGGTTTTTCTAATAATTCCTTCAGAGATGTAGTATAAAAAATAAACACCATATTCTTAGCGTGACACTACTTCTGACCTCCAGAAGTCTGAGAATTATAAAGAGAGAAACATGGGAAGAAAAAGAGAGAGAAAGAAAGAGAGAAGAGTGAGAAGGAGAATGAGCATCCAGTTTTTTAACATGGGATCTGGTTTCAAAAAGGCTCTAGAGACATTTTTGACACATACATTCTAAAAATATTGACTTCCTGCCTTTGGCATCCTTCAATTTTCTCCTGCCACTATTTCATTAGATTTCATTTCTTTACGATTTTTTATCTGAAATTTCTAATTCAAGCTTTATTTTGTACTTAATCTGGAACCTATCAAATTCTCATCCTTCTCTCCAGTTGAACCCTCTTCTTGAAATTTCTTATAGATTTCTTTCTTATTGGTCATTCCCATTGCCATCCCCCTTGGGTTCTAACACATTTGAATTAGCACCTTAAATACTCCTCCTCTATTTACTTTGTCCTTCAGGTTCATCCAGTTTGTGGCCTCTGAGTTCAGACCTTTTGAAGGTGAGGAAGAACCCTGGGGGACCATTCCTTTTGTGGAACCTCGGTGATTTTTTAGCCTCTTTCTACAGGCTCTTTCTACGGACTCTTTCATAGTCACCCTTCCTGATGGATCTCTCTACCTGAATTTTCCCTGTTCCTGTATGTCTGAGAAGTTGGCAGTTTTATTACCTTAAAATATGAATCTGATCTTTTCTCTCCCACTTTCCCTGAACATCAAGTTCTATGTATAAATGTATATTTCTATCAATCTCTCTGTCTAATTTCTCCTTTCTGCTCCAGACAGGACAATCTCCCTTATGGACCTCTAACACATTGTTTCACCCCCTCTCATGCTTAGAAATGCCTTCTCTGCTTCTAAAGTCTACTTTCGCCCTGCAACAGCTTTCCTGCAACTCACATTAATCTCAATTTTTCAATTCATGTTGCATTCACTGCTAATCCCACACACTACTATCATTCACTATGATATACTACCCTGGGCTGAAATCATGCATTAGTTAGCACTTTGTTTCATCAGAATACAATAACGGTTGGTTTACTATTCTTTTTTCTTCTAATTGTTTTGAGCATGTGTCTTATCTCTCCAGCCAGACAGTAAATTCATTGTAAGAAGGAGCACTGTCTCATAATCTCTTATATCCCTACCTCCTGATATAATGTCAACTAATTGACTTTAACTTTTAACTCTTGCCATCCTCGTTTACACTGGTTGGAAAACAACAAAAATATTTAGTAAAAGTAGTTCAATAAGATAATTGACAGCAGATAGCACTCTATTATATATTTATTTTACAAAGGCTGAATTTGGTCTATATGAATATATAGTTAATATTTAATGAAAGCTAGTTCACTAACATATGCTGCTTTTTGAACTATAATTCTGGATGTTTTCTGATCCTTCCGTAGTTACAATAAATTTTATAAATCCGCCTGAGACTTCTTTCCTAAACTCCAAATTCATATATCCAGTTGCCTACTCAATATCTCCATGTAGAGAACCAATTGACTTTTCCAAAATCTATCCTCTCCCTCAAAAAAAAAAAAAAAAAAAATCCTAGTTCATCAACTTCACTATCTCAATTAATGGCAACTTCTTTTTTTTTTTTTTGAGACAGAGTCTTGCTCTGTCACCCAGGCTGGAGTGCAGTGGCGCAATCTCAGCTCACAGCAAGCTCCGCCTCCCGGGTTCACGCCATTCGGCACCCGCCACCACGCCCGGCTAATTTTTTTTATATTTTTAGTAGATATAAAAAATATAACTTTTTATACTTTTAGTAGATATAAAAAATATAATTTTTTATATTTTTAGTAGGGTTTCACCGTGTTAGCCAGGATGGTCTCGATTTCCTGACTTCGTGATCCACCCACCTCGGCCTCCCAAAGTGCTGCAATTACAGGCGTGAGCCACTGTGCCCGGCCAATTGATGACAACTTCTATTCACTCAGGCAAAGAGTGATTATGAATCCTCTCTTTCTCTTAAACCCCCATATCCAGTCCACCAACAGAATCAAAGACATCCATGGTACAACCAATTCCACCACTCTCATTGTTACCACCTTGATACAAGCCACCATCATCTCTCATCTGGATTACTGCAATAACATCCTATCTAGTCTTCCTGTTTTCGCCCTTGCAAAACACTCCTCTGCTCAAAGCACCTCAATGTCTTCTCATCCTACACAGAGTAAAAGCTAAAGTCCTTACAATGGCCTACTAGACCCTGCATGAATTGGGACCTGTTACATTTCCAACCAAATTTCCTGTTAACTCTCTCTTAGTCCCAGCTCTCTAACCACACGAGCCTTGTTCCTAAAACATGGCAGGTATGGCCCACCACAGGACATTTGCACAGGCCCTTCCTGATATGCTCTTCCCATAAGTATCCTCATCACTAACTCCCACTTCTTCTTCAAGACCTTGCTCAAATGTTGCCTTCTCACTGAGGCTACCTTAATGACCCAATTCTAAATTGCAACATTCCCTACCTTAGCCATCTTTATTCTCCTCCCTGCTCTATTTTCTTTCCATAGATTTATCACTGTGGCTGATGAGAATGTGCCTCTCAGACACTGAACTACAGGAGCATAATTGACCCAAGAGTCCCACTTTGGGTCAATTTAAAAAAAAAAAAATCAAACCTTTACTCTGAAACGCATTCCTATGGTTGCTTCAAGGCTATGCTTCCCAGGGGCTACTCCCAGACAGTGACTGAGCACGGCAAGAATGCTAAAATTCCTGAGAGACACTGGATCACTCTGGTTGCTGACAACTGATGGGTCTCACCACGTGTTTATTCATTCGTTTAGTCGACAATACTAATAATTGTTAATTTTTAAAGCATTTGTTATTCATTCTGCATATATTTATTGAGAACCTCTGATGTGTCAGGCACTGTGTTAGGGGTTTGGGATACATGATTGAACAAACTTTCTCCTCTCCTGGAACTTACATTCTGGTAGACAATAAAAGATTAAGTAAATAAAATATAGTAGATGTGGAAGTTATGATGTTATTCTGGATCCTATGAGAAACAAATGCCAAGATGGGTTAAATGTACAGAATTTTATGAGGAGAAATGACTGTACGAGAGAACATGGGAGGATCGGCAGAAAAGGCTGGAGCTGGACATGTCTAAGAGGCAGGTGAAAGAGAGAGGGAGGGAAAGTTGAGTGGAAACAGCCTAATCTGTAGTGCAGACCAAGGGAGATTGTCAAGGCCATCAGAGCTCTGGCTCCAGGATTCCACTCAGGTCCCCCAGATTTTCCCTGCTCCAGCCTTTTCTGCCTACCACCCACATGAAGATGCCAATCAGTTGTTGCAACTCTGCTCCCTCTTAAATTCCCTGATCCTCTTTTTTTAAATCTTGTCCTCCCCTACACTAGCAAAATCTTGGGTTTTCCTCTAGCAGAAATGAGATTTGAGAGGTAAATTGTTTTTAGGAAAAGATCCAGACTAATAATTGGATGACTGCCCATTTGTTCTGGGCACCAAATATGCAATTCTGACTGAGATATTTATCATTACTGCTTTCTTGTCTTTAATTTCAGCCAGGATCTACAAATAAACAAAATCAAAAGTTTTGAAGGTTTGATTTTTTTTTTTGTAACGCATAAATATGCATCCAACAGTAAACAAACTTGGCCTACATCCAAACAATCCTCCTATTCTCTGGTCTCCCTAAGTGTCCCTTCGGAGGATGTATGAGCAAAGACAAACTACTCTCAAGTATAATTTCAGACTCTTAAAACATGGGTTTCACCTTATAGTGACTGACTTGGGATGAGGGCTCTGTGGTTGGGGAACTCCAGCCGATAATATGGGGAAACCTCAGTAGGGCCAATAAATTTCTCCAGAGGACGTTCCCACACCATTCTGCCTCAGGCTGTTACACCCAGCTGTAGTGTTCTAGGAGCTAGATGGAGGAGGAGGCTGGGGGCCCGACCCCTTCTCATAAAGACTGACTTAACCTTCAGCCTGTGCCTCTCCTTGCCCTGTGTCCTTGGGCAGTCCTTGATGAATGCCACTTATAAAGTCAGGCAGCTGGAGTTCCAATCTTGGCTTTGCTACTTACTAGCTATATGGCAAATTACCTCTCTGAGCCTGTTCCCTCATTTTTAAAGCGGGGATTATAGCACTTATCCCTCAGCACTTTGCAAGAATGCATTTGCCTATAGAGAGAATGCAACAGATATTAGCTATTATTATTACTAATATCAAAACTACAAAGGAAATATGTTCAATGTTTGGGTTGTCCTTTTCACCTCTTCAACTGAATGTCGATATGAAAGTGCTTAATAGCATTCAAACACATAATAATAAGGTAGTTGGTAATTAGGATTTACTTCAACAAAATTTAATTAAAGAACCTGTAGGGAAAAGAAAACAGACAGAGCCAATTGTACAGCTTCCCAGCCTCTGCTTTGACCTAGGAGTCCCATTGGGCTTGCCTGCCTTTTTCTAAAGAGGGGAATATCCACACAGTCCAGGGCTCCAGGCAGTTCCAGAATGTCTCATCACATTTTCAAAGGCTCACTCCTTTCTCTTGCGTAACTGGTGAGGTCAAAATGGGCACCTTCCTGAAAGCCAAGAGTGTCATTTCTGAACAACGTCCAAGAAAGAACTGCATTCCACAGAAATCCAAGTCAAGCAATAACAAAAGGTGGCACTTGGTGTTTAAGCCACACTAAATACCCTGGTGGGCCAACTTCTCAATATAGTCACATTAACACCTTTGAGTTCTCCATGACCTAAAGATTCCAAAGTTTGCAACAAATTGCTGAGCAGGTGGGTCGGGGGTGGGGTGTAGAAGGGGGAGAACAAACCAACGTAAATTCACCGCTACATGAAGTTTAAAGTAGCTATAGATTGTTTTATTATTATCAAAGCCAATCAGTGGAAGAAAGGCAAACAAGTGACTTGGCACTTCTGCCTCAGCCAAGGTAAGGCTCTCTCTCTAGAGGTAGAGAGCAGGTAAACGAGCTTTGTACAAACACACACAGACCCACACATCCGGGGATGGTTGTGTGTTGCTAGAGCAGAGGCTGATTAAACACTCAGTGTGTTGGCTGTCTGTGCCACTCCTGGAAAATAATGAATTGGGTAAGGAACAGTTAATAAGAAAATGTGCCTTGCTAACTGTGCACATTACAACAAAGAGCTGGCAGCTCCTGAAGGAAAAGGGCTTGTGCCGCTGCCGTTCAAACTTGTCAGTCAACTCATGCCAGCAGCCTCAGCGTCTGCCTCCCCAGCACACCCTCATTACATGTGTCTGTCTGGCCTGATCTGTGCATCTGCTCGGAGACGCTCCTGACAAGTCGGGAATTTCTCCATTTCTCCACTGGTGCAAAGAGCGGATTTCTCCCTGCTTCTCTTCTGTCACCCCCGCTCCTCTCCCCCAGGAGGCTCCTTGATTTATGGTAGCTTTGGACTTGCTTCCCCGTCTGACTGTCCTTGACTTCTAGAATGGAAGAAGCTGAGCTGGTGAAGGGAAGACTCCAGGCCATCACAGTAAGTCTGCGTACAGTTATAACTCATGAAGGTGGTTGCTTAGAGGAAGGCAGACCGTGGCCGGCTGCCCCTGTCGCTGAGCCCTTGTAAGTGGAAAAACAGAACTGTCAGCCTTCATGGACGCGTCTCTGTTTCTCTCTTAACCCTTATGACCCTCTGTAACTCTGGGGCTTCAGAACCTGAGTACAGGGCAAATGTTCTTGATTTTCAAAAAGGCTGTGCCTACGTTTTAAACAACAATCAAAAGCTGTTAAGGCAGTCTGATTAACTATCTTTCACACTCTGTGTACCTTAGAAATGTAGTTTTTCCTTAAATGTTCATTTGACTGGTCTTAGATCAAAACACAGATCCCCAACTTGGAAACTTTTTTAAGCTATGAATGCATCAAAAAGTTAGCATTTTTTTAAAAGAGAGAAAAAGAAATTTTAAAAATGACCTGAAACTTTGTATTTGTAGTGTGATAGCATGTTCCAGAAAACCTAAGATAATTAAAATGAATGTTAGCATACGTAATTTAAGCATTAAACAAGAGAAAAGTAGGTAAAAGCACGTATCAGATTAATTCTAAGATATCAGTTTCCAGCAGAGTCACAAACTGAATAAGATCCTGATAAAGGAATGCAGTGCATGCAGTGGATTTGGAAAATATTTTGTTAATACCGAGAAGGAAAATCGTACATTTTTTATGTTTGTTCCGGGAAAAAGTCAAAGCAAGAAATAAATTACTTTTCTTAAATGATCCAGCTTTCTTTTTAATTTTATAAAGCCCTGTGTTTGGCAGTAACTTGAAAATCTGTGTCACAATCATTTATCATTAGCTACAACTTTTGATGTAATTGTTTTAAGAAATAAAAGATCTTTATAAAGCAATATCCCAATTTCTCAGCGTTTTCTGCCACTGACATTAGGTATAGGAAAAAAATTAGTACTTTTTAAAAACTGATGCTAGATCAGGGATTTGTTGTTGTTGTTCTTAAAATTTTCATTGTATAGCTAATTACGCTAATCCTAATTTAGATTTTTTACTAAATTGATACAATGTCTCAGTTTCACCCAGAAACATTCAGTAAATTGAAATGTCTTCTTAGCCAGTAGTAAGACACCAGAAGTCTATTGATAAGGTTGCTACTTATCCTTAAAACAATGCTTTGCTAAATGTCTAGCTTCTAATTATTACATTTTCCTCTCTTCAGAAAACCTTGATCGGGATTGTTGTTTGTTTTGTTTTGTTCTTTTTTGTTGTTACACTGAGACACCATCTCAGCTGTCCTGCTTTAAGGGACAGGAACTCGGCTCTGCTCTGTTGTTTTTGGCACGGGCCTGTTACATTACAGCTGTTGTCTAAAGGTTACTTTATTAGACTGCGTGAGTTGTGTGGTCACAAGCTCCACTATTTCTAATGCTTATATCTCCTAATTAGCTAATTGAAATAGACAAGTAGACCCTTGTTCTGAATTTTCCTCTTTCAGTTGGGGCACACCCTTGCTCGAGCCCTTTTTCCCTCCAGTGCACCTTATAACTCTTACCAAAACCACACATTTCCAAAGATATGGCTGTATACAGTTATTTCTAAGGCTAGGAATCTTAGTCACTGAAGGTTCCAATTGCAAATAGAAACAGAAAATGGTCATAATGTCTTAAAAGCCATCAAGAGAGTAAGTAGGTTCCTGAATATACAGATGTATGCTTTTTTGATGATTAAAAAAATATTTGGATTATTCCATCAGCCTAAATATATCCCATTAGAAAGGATTAAACAAATCTCCAACGTAAGATCACAAAGTAATTCTAGCTTGGAAGTAAAATCTACTTGTATAAAGGTTGTAGGGAAAAAACTGGAAAAAGTTTATGGGAACAAATTTCTCATAAACCAGCCTACACCTCACCAGGCTAAATCCAGTCACATTTGTCACCACCTAGAGGAAAAGTGGAGCAGTGGTGTGTCCATGGAAACAGCACATCCAGTCTCCTCCCTCTTGGACGCCCTGGGACATGCCAGCTTTCCTCGCCCTCACCCTTGCCTTGCCCAGGAAGCCACCTCAGCTAGTCTCTTCCCCCCTAGGAAAACAAAATCACAGAGTATGCAGAGAGTTTGCAAGAATTATTTCATTTTCGGAAGTACTGAAGCCTCAGAATCTCCAATCTAGACTAAAACTCAGTGAGAATCTTTGCATTTTAGCTTTTTCCTCCTGTTTACCTACACTGGAAATAATTTTTTATATTCTTCAAGAATGAAATCAGAACAATGCACCCAGACATACCAACACATAGACCTCACTTTGGAAGAAAAAAAAAACTTTTACACTATAGGATTTATTTGATTTTTACATTAAAATTTGTTTCTCCAATGACTGGCTATAAAATAAAATAATCTTCACAGTTGTATTTATTCTATCTGGTTTCAAGTGCCTAAAAAGTCATTATGTTCACTGCAAAGAATTGAAAAAATAAATTGAAAAGAGAATTGAAAAAATAAATTGAAAAAATATACCCAGAATTTGACAGAACCAAGATCCAAGTGCCCGTCTTTTTCTTTTTCTCAAAAAAAAAAATAAATTAATTAAACACATTAAGTAGCTGAAATGAGATACTTAGGTTCTCAAATTGAAAACTAAATAACTATCGTGAAGCCATTCATTTCTCATATCAGATCAGTAAATTGAATTTTTGATTAGTCAGACGTCTTCTCAAAGATTTAAAGAGAATAAGAGCAAAATTATGATAGTATGCAGAAACAATTGTTCAAGGGTAGGTACTTCAGTTTGGGTGTACCAAACATAGATTCTATTTTACACAATTGCTTTCATGTTCTTCCTTATTACTTTATCCATGCACCAACTCTTCCCTTACCAAATTAATGGTCAAAGTACCCCTTTGCCTAGAAGTTCAGTTTTCAACTATAATTTTAAAACAGGGCTGCTTAAAGTTAATTAAATATTATGTTGATCTTTAAAATGTCTCTTGAGGCCCTTTTCAAGTCAGTACACATTTTAAAAAATAGTTGATCTTTCTACAAAAGGAGAGTTAACTGGAACTCAGTAGTATTTTGAAATAGACTAGTAATTTGAAATTCACCTTTAACAATACTGGAACTGAGGATACCAATGGCTCCAGCATTCTCGAGAAGCATGAGATGAAGGACTGAATGTACCACTGACAGAGTTATCCCTGCAGAGTTCGTGTCTGAAAGTGAACGTGGGCCACACTGAAGAACAATGAAAAGGCCCAGGGAATCTCTCTTCAAAAACACAAAGATTCCCTTAGAATGAGTGACATTCCGTATACTTTTGACATCTCCTCCACAGCTAATACATTTTCTTACCCCCATGCCTACAGTGACATTGGAAAATACCATTACAAATATGAATATGCTCAAACTGGAAAACTAGATCTTAGACTGTCTTGTGATCAGAGACTCAGTTCTATTTGAAGGATGAACTCAGAGGAAGTTTAAGAACCAGAATCCACTTTCAGAGAACAGACTCCACTGAGGAAAAGAGAGTAAGAAGAAAGCTGACATTTTATTCTCATCCAGGCTTGCCTTTAATTGTAAGGAATGTGTGTTATCAACACAGTCTCTCATGCCTCTATTCAATTAATGGTTATTAGGCACCTACTATGCACCACACCTTGTGCATTTGAATGAAAAGAGGTGAAATAAGGGGAATCTGGAGTGTGAGGAGTGGGGATGGGAGTGCGTTGTAAGTTTAAATAGAGTGGTCAGGATGGGCTTCACAAAGAGGGTGACGTTTGAGCCTAGACGTGAAGGGGTGAGTTCTGTCAAAAGTTGGACAATGGACAATAAAAATAATCACAAGTACAAGCACCTGCTTAGGACTGCCTCCATTTGGAAAGGAGCCATATAAAGTCCTGACACTGGAATTTAAGCAGCAGAGCCAGATTTTGCTGGCCAAAGCCGCTCATGATGAAAAAAAAAAAAAAAAAAAAAAAAAAAAAAACTCTCACATTTCCCCAGATCCACTCCCTACTGCTTTCCACTCCCAAATACCCAAATAAGTTTTTCTTGATTTGTAAATATAGGAATTTAAGAGGCATGGAGTTCTTTACATAAAACAGAAATCTCCACAGTACAGAGACCAATATTAAAACAATAACATGAACACAGATGGGTTCTAGTTACTTCTTTAGCACATGTTCCCTGTTACAAGTGTCTCCGAGCACTCTACCTCATCTTGTTCCCTTTTTGTCAATATCTGGGATCATCTAACAGTCAATAAGACAGTGGCCCAAAGCAAGACCTGCCGTGTGATTTGTGGGGCCAAAAACACAATGGAATGTGGTGGCCCTTGTTCAAAAGGTATTCAAACTTTCAAGGCGGTGACAACAGAGCTTTGATCTAAGTGCTAGGCCCTTCTGAGCATGATGCCCTGGGTGACTTCACAGGTCACAAACCCAAGAAGTCAGCCCTGCTTCTGTATTCCAGACTGGCCATATATATTTTTCCTTATTCGCTCTATCTGAATCAGTGAGAGAGTAAAAACAAGTGTAAACTAGCCTGGGTCTTTAACAAAGGCATACCTTAACATGTGTTTGGATCATTGTATTATTTAGAGTTCTAAGGAATTCTTAAAGTACCAGTGGCCAAAGAATGTATAATGCCCCATTGTTAACCAACATATCTCATGATGAAGACATAGTTAGAGGAACAACTTCTAATTTGTCATGAGCTTCCAAAGAAATTCACATGAAGATGGTACATGAAGATGTAGCAATCTTCTAAATAAAAAAGTCCCATGCCACAATAGTCAACAATGTAACCTCAGCACAATTTTCCACAGTGCTGTACCAAGATTATATGTTTCTTCCAGAGGCGAAAGGTTTCTTCAAACAAATGTGGTATGCCACACTTCTTTGCCAAACATAATAGCCCACCCATAAAGGAGACCATGTGATGAGGTATAATAATTTTGATAGCTCATTAAGGAAACTGCTTTTTGATAACTAGGGAAGGTTTTTCCACTGTGCAACAGAATGATAA